TTGGTCAGTTTTAAATATTTGTAGAATCCATCAAGTGTCCTTCCAGGAGCCATAGCCGCCCCACCCCCCCCCCCCCCACCACCACCACTAATCTCTTTAGTTTAGTTTCCACACTGCAGCTATGATCATTTTTAAAAACAACTGTAGCAATCATGTCACTACTTTGCTTAAAATGTGTCAATGGCTGCGCATAGTCTTAAGAAAACCAACATCTGATACTACCCTATTAGGCCTGGCATAAGCTGACCCCTGCCTCCCTCTCCAGCCTCATTTGAGCGGCTCTTCCTCTCACTCTGAACTGCAGCCAACTTCTTGCAATTCCTTCAATGGCTCATGCGCTCTCCTAACCTTAGTCCCCTTAATACTTTTAACCTTCCAACTTCCGCTGAAAATTACTTCTTCAGCAAACTTTCGGGGACTGCCTCCTTACCCCTCTCCCTCTTGTATTATTTTTCTAGGGCTACAATCATGAAGTGTAAAAAACTGTGTGACTTAAAATAACAGAATGTACTATGTCACAGTTCTGGAAGCTAAAGGTGTGAAATCAAGGTGTTGGCAGGGTAGGTTTCTTCTTAGGGCTGGGAGGGAGAGTCTGTTCCATGCCTTTCTCTTAGCTTCTGGTGATTTGCTGGCAGCCTTCGGCCATTCCTTTTTTGTGAAACATCACTCCAATGTCCACCTTGATCTTCACATGGTGATCTTCCAAATTCCCTCTGTTTATGAGGGCACCAACATATTGAATTAAAGGTCCAGTCTACTCCCATATAACCTCATATTAACTAATTATATCTGCAAGGACCCCATTACCCAATAAGGTCACATTCTGAGGTACTAGGGGCTAGAACTTCAACATATAGATGTGGGAGAAGGAACACAATTCAACTCATAATACCACCCATTTCTGAGGTGGAGTCCTCCAGGAATAATATATTGTCATAGTCTGCCCTGCAGACTTTTTCCTCAAGTACTGATTAGTTTGTGATTCTTAATCAAATAATCACACAAGTGAAAGTTTATTTGCTCCTCCTCCCCATAGACTGTAAGTTCTATGAGGGGCCATTTTTGTTGACCACTGTACCCCCATGCTTGGCATATGGCAATTGTTCAATAAGTATTCACTGAGTGAAGCAATGAACTCCATGGCCCTCCAGGTCGTTGACTGCATGGCAACATGAGCAGGGCAGCCTTTATGTCCCTGCCTACTCAATCTCCTCCCAGTGCTCTAGCTTCTGGGGCAGCCAGTCATCTGAGGCAAGTAGGACTGGAGGCAGATCTACTGGTTCATCAATTGCTGCCCAATTAGTGACCCCTTGAAACTCCAGCATCACTTTCCCTATGAAGCCAAACCCCCTCTAGGAAAAGTCATGTCTAAGATTTGTTAGCACACTGAACTTCCATTTCACGTGTGCCTCTTAAACACCACCGATTATTATTGAGGAGGATAAGGGAGCTTCTCTGAAGATGTTAAAATACGTCACTTCTCCAAGAACCAGAAGAGTTCAGCTGGGTGGTTAATGGATGAAGAAAAAAACTTCTTGGTGCTTCTTTCATCTCTAATACTCTAAGATCCTCATTATTCGATAACTTTAGACATGGTCCCTCAATGCAGCTAGAAAAGGATTCTTAGCCTTTTAACTCTCTGACCACTATTTGGATCAATAAGTCACTGACAACAGTGCAATAGAACCATACAGAACCAGAATACCACTGTAATCCCATTGAAATTGCCTTCTCTGTGTGCTCTCAAGAGCAAGTGCTGCTTTCGCAAAGTGTTAAGATAGTTTAATGCCTGGCTTTTATGTTTCATCATCTCATGGCTCGAGGAATGCTGAATGCTCTAAATGTTGGGCTTCTAGAAGCTTGAACCCATTGACCTGCCACAAGTAATTACTTCTGAAAGGATCTTGAGCCAGCGAGAACCCAGGACGACTCACAAAGCAAAGGTAAACTGCAGCGGTACTCGGAGGGGGTGGGTGTAACTGGAGGGTGGGCTGTCCTTTTCATGTACTCCCTGCACAGAGGACTTCAAAGCAAATCACACTATTACGTTATTCAGAGTTAGAACTTGACAAAGCCCTCTGTCTTCTCCTGGGCCTGCCTCCTGCTGGCAACTGCTCTTGCCTGTCAGGTGAACCCGTGGCCATTCTCCGCTTCCTGGTGGAACAGGGAGAAGAAGAAGAGACAGAGAAATTGTACTTGGAAATTGGTGATTCTAGAAGTGTTCAAATATGTGGGAAAGTCCAGCATAACTCTTCCCTTTCATTTCTTCCACTCGGCTAAAACTTTCTCTTTGTTCTCAGTTTTCAGGATAAATCATACTACAACGCACCAAAAAGTCATCCTGGAAAGGGCCTACTGTAAAATTCTTTCTTTTTATAAACTTGTCATACTCTGCTGAGAAAACTTCCCTCGTGCAGAAATGTAAAATGTGAGGTAGAAGCAGATTTCTAACACTTTCTACTCCTGATTCATTTTGGAACCAGCTAGATACTGCTGTGTGCTGGCTCACTTGGTAGAAGATGTCCAGGTAGTTTTAGATCCTCATGGCCATGTTTGTGATGCTGATAGCACCTCCAGAGATGGCCTCTCCCTGAGGCTCAAATCAGTGAACACAGTCATTGTCCACAGGTCACCAGAAAACATCACTGAATGCATCTGGTGGTAAATGAGATGCATTCACCCCTGATTGCCCTCAATGACTGTCAGCACTGTCCCACTGGAGTTTATGGGAAGAGCACCAAAGTCACAAATAATCAACTTCAAGTCCTTCCTAAACTATAACATACCAGGGCTTATGTTGGTATATAGGGAGACACTCTGTATAAATAGGTTCTAATTTCATAGCCAGACAAGTAGTCAGTGGTAGAAGAGACAGGGAGAAAGAGAGAGAGGTTGGTCTCATCAAACCAGAACACATTTCTGGGGAGATAGTAATAAGCATCTACTGATAGGGGAAGTGATATCTTGTCAAAATGAGATGTGAAAAGATATGTCCATTCAAGGTCTGAAACACTCCACAGGAACCTTAAAAAACTGCATTGCACACATTGCCAACTGCCATTCCACTCACTGGTAGCTACACAAAGGTCTTACCTGGGAACTGCAGTGGTTCGCCTTTGATATCAGAAGAGATCTCTATGGATTACGATTGTGGATTCATCTTGTTCTCTTCCAAAAAGGATTTCAAGTTTAGATTGCAGAGTCTGTAACTAGTTATCTCACAGTAATGAAGGTGTCATCTTTTGTAGCAGGAATTGGAAAAGAAGATGCAAATTCCAATGTATACTTCTGGGAAAAGACAATATTTACATAAAATGCAAATGCTGGAAATAAACCGGAAAAGACAAGAGGTAAATATGAGAAGAATATCATATTTACCAAATTCACTGAACATGATAACTGCCCTGGCACATAGATGTAGTTAAGGGTTCATCTCCAGTCTTTTTAAATCTAGCCATTAGATCCAAAGATTCAACTACTGGAGTTGGGAAGAACCAGCAATATTCCTTCTCCTACCAACTAAGTCTTTCCTCTGTTTTCAATCCTCATAGGATGTAGCTGTGTCTCAGGTCTCTCTTTTTAAACTCTTGCTTCTATGACATTCTGGCTCCAGCAGAAAAAAATGGGGTTAGATCATTTTTCTTGGTTTAGTAAAAAAAAAAGAGGGGGGGGATAAGCGGTGTGGGGTTGGTCTTTATTTTGGAAGGCAGCTATGCTCACCACTATACCACCAACGCCGACTGGTCTTTATTTTGATACTGAAGCATCTCTGCAATGTATGCCATAGAGCAGTGGTCGGCAAACTGCGGCCCCTTGAGTGTGGCTCTTCCACAAAATACCATGTGCGGGCGCGCACATACAGTGCGATTGGAACTTCATGGCCACACTCAAGAGGCCAAAGAGCCGCAGTTTGCCAACCACTGCCATAGAGCAATCTTACAAGAAAGACCTCTTGTTACAAAGCCATGTACAGTATGGCTCCTCTAATTGTCATATTCCAAAATTCTCACTCTAGTGAATAAGCCTAAAACCACTGTCTGCTGTTATTCCAAATATATCAACTAGCCTTCGGAGAAATGCTTTCACAGAAGTCCTCACCTTTTTGAGACTGTGGATATACTCTCCCTTCTCCTAACAAACCTGTGCATAACGAAAAACTCTGTACCTTCTAATAGGAAAAAGAGAGTCCTATTCTGATTAGGGGACCACAGATGCCCACGGATGATTACACAGCTGGCAAAGTGGCTGACCAATGGACCTATTCTGGTGAAAGCTGAGGGTGGAGATGGGGGTTGGGAGGACTTGAACCATTTATAACTGATCGTTTTCAGGCCCAAGTGGAGTTGAAGAAAAGTCTTCACAGGGAGGCAAAGATTAATAAGGAGAAACCGAGGGACAGCACAGCCAAGAAAATCCTTGACAGCATCCCCAGAGATGACGATGACTTTCTAACCGTGTTGCCTGATGAAACCTTAAACCCAAGTCCAGGTGAGTCATGCCATTTTTTTCAGTAAAATAAAGTATTTCAAGTGTTTCAATCATCACCAAATAAACTTTCAGGGGTAAGGGTAGGAACTTGTTAGGGTAGGAGGTCAGTAAATAGCCTTAGGTCCCGGCTGATATTTACTTCATGGAATATAATGGGTAGGTATCATGTAATTTGGATGGCCCGGAAGAAAAGGCAGAAGTTTAAGCACTGTAATAAGATGCTTCTTTATAGAGCAGTGATGGAGAACCTTTTGAGCTCAGCGTGTCAGCATTTTGAAAAACTCTAACTTAACTCTGGTGCCATGTCACATATAGAAATTTTTTGATATTTGCAACCATAGTAAAACAAAGACTTATATTTTTATATTTATTTTATATATTTAAATGCCATTTAACAAAGAAAAATCAACCAAAAAAATGAGTTCGCGTGTCACCTCTGACACGCATGTCATAGGTTTGCCATCACTGTTATAGAGGCTTACTGTACTTTGTATGCATTATTGGCAATCCTCGCTCCATCCCTAGGAGGGAAAAAGGCCAAAGAGCCTCATCTTGTGGTGAAAGAGAATAAAGCACGTGGAGGATATATTAAACTGGAAATTGGTATCAGCTGGTTGGGTGCCATATGCAGACACTCTCACCCCCGGCCCACTCTTTCCCCCCACAGCACACTCGGAATATCTAAACTGAATCCAAGCCTGCTCCTGCTGCATCCATACATTCAGGGAGGCCTCCGTGCCCTGGGGCCTTTCCAGCCCTTCTGTTCCCTCTCCTTGCAACTGGTCAGTCGCCAAGTCCTGCTGAGGTCGCCTAGCGCTGAAATCTCCCTTCTGTCTCCCATTCCCCATATCACCTTTAGGCCATTGTGTCATACCAGGGCTATTGCGACAGCCTCCTGACTGCAGTCCTCACTCAGGTCTCACCCTCCCACATCAGCCCTCCACTTCAGTGGTTCTCAGTGTGGTCCCCAGACCTCCAGCACCTGGGAACGTGTTAGGGCCCCAGCCAGAGTGACTGAATCAGAAACTGCAGGGCTGGGCCCAGCAATCTGGGTTTAACACCCTCTACCAAGGTGATTCGATGCCTGTAAAGTTTAATAACCACGGGTCTATTGTCCACAGACCAGCAGGGTCTGCATCACCTGGGAGTTTATTAGAAATGCGGAATTTCAGACCCCACCCCAGACCTACTGAATCAGGCCCCGCATTTTGTCAAGATTCCAAAGTAATTCCCCTGCACAATAATGTTCTAGAAGTACTGCACTCAGAGTGTAGTAACCGTATATAATGCAAATCTGACCAACTCACTGTCTTGCTAAAAAAAAAAAAAAAAAAAAAAAAAAATCCTTCAGTGAGTCCCCATCAGCCTGAGGACAAAGTCTAACTCCCTCCCTGGCTTCATCTCCTGCCATTCTCATACCCAGCCCCACACCGCAGTCAGCCCAGATCGCTCACAGCCTCAGATTGCTGTGTGATTTCCAACAGATATCTGCATACGTAACCCCTTTGCTATGTTGCCCCACCAATTAGAGCCCCATAAAGTTTGCCCTGTCTGTATTGCTCCAGGGCAAGCCCACCCTTGCAAATGTACAAGATTGTCTACACTCTTGGATTGCCCTGCTGTGGGCCAAATCCCCACCTCAGCAAGACTGACCACTGAGAGCTCTAGGGAGACGCTGGCCACGCCTCTGGTGGTCTTGGGCTTCTAAGAGCAAAATAGGCAGCCGAAAGAGATCCTGCTCCTGCTCAGAAGAACAAGATGCTTAATCAATACGTTAATGAAATAAGAACAGGCTGAATAATTGAAAATCTACTTGAGGCATCTATGTAACCTATACTCCTGAGTCCCGGAATAAAATATGCTGTGTAGTCATGCAGAAAAACAACTTTTACAATTAAAAAAAAATATTGGCAAAACAACTAAGAAAAGTGCCTCAGCTACAGTTAGACATGTAGACTCATTGCTTGAGATCAGGCCAAGGAAAACCAACGCAGGTGTAGTCTTTGGGAGATGCTCCAGAGTTGGAGGGGCTCAGTGGAGACTGTGACACATGGTGATGGGGTTTTCCTGCTTTCCCCATGCTTTTCCGAGCTGCCTCATTTTGCTCTGGCAAAGGTTTATTGAATGCTTACTATAAGCCAGGCACTGTGGTCTGCCCTTAAATGCATTACTGCATTTAATCCTCACATAACCTATAAGGTAGGAGTTACTATTAGGCCCCATGTAACGGAGCCAATATTCAAGGCCAAGTCCTTCTGACTCCCAAGTGTGCTCTCTCACCCACCCTCTTGTACAGCCTTGTTGGAGCTCCGGCCAGGACAACCGTGGGAAATTCTGCAAATATAGAATCAACCTTATCTTTCAAGAGAAGGCTGCCCTCTGCAAAGCCTATAGATTTCACCACGGCAGTAGGCATATGCTGGATCAATGATTCCTTTTTACTTATTCCCAAATAGTGTCTTTGATTTCTTCCCCTGTCTTCTAAAAGCAATTCTCTTTGCTTTCTCCTAGAAATGGAGTGTAGCCAAGATCATAGACTTACAAGAGGATCCTGCTAGTTAGATTCTGGTAGTTAAGATTCCTCTGTACCCATCTCCTCTGATTTTATGCTGTATTTGCCTATTCCATTCCCTCTTTTGGAATTGATGTGAGAGTTCAAGTCTCTTTCTTTCTGCAGCTTCTTTAAAATGAAATCACCCACACTTTACATATATTTATATCATAAATTATATATACTGTATATGTGTATATATAGAATGATACATAACTTACACAAAGTGAACATCATTTTTTGGAGCTTAAAATTCTATGAGTTTTAAGATGTTTGTGTTGCTCTTGCCCTTTCCAGAAACCATAATATAGTGGGTAGAAAAAGCCATGGACTTGGAATCAAGGTCTTTCATTTGAGCCCCACCAGGACATTTATTAACTGTAATAAATGGGAGCAGGGACCTTCTCTAGCTCCTAGAACAGTGCCTGGTACATAGTATCTCTCAATAATTATTAGCTATATATTTGTCTACATGAGATTATTCTATAGACAGAGAGATTACAGCTAAATTATAGTCATTTAACCTCTGCAAACCTCAATTTCCACATCTGTAAAATGGGAATATAAAGCATGTCACCAAGTAGGTTTTATGTAAAATTAATATAAATCTGTGTAAAAGCACATATAAAACGTAAAGTGTCATGTAAATGCATGGGAATATGGACAAAACTGAAGAAAGATGGAACTGATATCTTATAGTGAAAATAACTATATACCTCAGGGAAGTGTCATCCTAAATACATCATTTGTCACCTTCACAATTCTGGTCTTATCTGGACACCTGTGCTATTATTTACTTAGTATTTTTCTTTAAGCTTTCTTCTAAGAACAAGGGCAACTTTCCTACATAACCACAATACAATTATTACAATTACAAATGTTAACATTCATACATGCTATTTTCTAATGTTTGGTCCGTATGTAAATATCGATGGTTATCCCCATAATGCCCTTTATGGCTACTTTTTGTTTCCCTGTTTGTGCTTTCTTTTTTAGATCCAGGATCATACATTGCATTTTATTTTCTGTTTCTCAATATCCTTTTTTGCTTGTTTGTTGTTTTGTTTTTTTAGAGAGAGAGGATGGGGAGAGAGGGGGGAGAGAGAGAGAGAGAGAGAGAGAGAGAGAGAGAGAGAGAGAAACATTGATTTGTTGACCACTTATTTTTGCATTCATTGGTTAACTCTTGTATGTGCCCTAACCGGGGATCAAACCCGTTACCTTGGTGTATCAGGGCGATGCTCTAACCAACTGAGGTATCTGGTCAGGGCTTCTTAGTCTCCTTGATTTTCTTCTTTTTTTCTTTTCTCCTTCCTGCCCTTTTGTTCTTAGGAGATTTGTGGTGATATGTTCTGGGGGTCAGTGACTCTACAACTAATTCTCAAATGGTTCAACTGAAAAGTACATATATAGTGACAAAATGTTGTTGGTGAGTTGGAGTGTACAGGTATATATACAGGTATAATATTCTTGTGCCTTTCAGAAGATTTAAATTTTTTTTAAAAAAAGGGAAAGAGAAACATTTTTAATGCTTCCCCAGATGGAATCCTGTATATGTGTATATATTTTTAAAAATACCAAACAGATTATTCTGTGTTCATACAAAAACAGGCACTTAAACAGATATACCATTGTCAGGGGGGAAATTAATTAAATCAACTTTTAATTTTTTGTAGGAAATTCACAGAATGCAGAATTTTTAGAACATCATTCAAGGAATGACTATGGTCCCCGGAAAATTGGCAAAATGGAAACATGGCTTCGTGAACAAGAGGCCCGGGGACAGCTGCTCTGGGACAGCTCTAGCTCTGACTCTGATGAGTTGGGGAAAGTCACGAAGAAACCACGAGCCCTGGTGAAGACCAGGACAGAGAGAATCCCACCTTTTGACGAGTTTTTTGATCGAGAATAAGAATGCTATTCACTAACCTAGATTCTCAGAGCATTGAAGGCTTACTTTCCCGTAAAAACTCTTCAAGTTAGTATATGAATTATTCTGAGGGAGCCAATTCACTTGCTTTTTATTTGAAGTCTTATGATTACCAGGTGTGGCATAGTTTGTTAGTGATGCTGCAGAACCAACTGCCTCAACACATAGGGGCATAAACAACAGCCACATGTTGTTACACTCTTCTGTGGGTTGCTGGGCTCAGTTGGATGGTTCTTCTGCTGGTCTCTTGTGAAGCCTTTCATGAAGTTGAAGTCAGGCAGCAGCAAGGGCTTGACCAGGACACTGAGACAGCTGGACCTCACTCCCTCTCCATAGCCTCAGAGCCTCTTCACATGGTCTCTCCAGCCAGGTAGTGAATGAGGAGCCCAGGGCTCCAAAAAACAAATGTTCCAAGAGGAGGAAGCGGAAGCTTCCAGTCCTCTAAAGAGTAATCATGGAACAGGCTCTGCATCACTCCTACATTCTGTTTGTTGAAGCAAATCATTGTCCAGATCACAGTCAATGAAAAAGGGCTTGAATTCCAAACTGTGGCCCACTGGGGTCCATCTTTGAGACTTGCCCCTACACCATATTTTTAAAAAGCAAATTATAGCTTATAAAACAAAGAGATGAGAAAGTAGATTTGATACAAATAAAGATGAGTTTTTAAAGATGCTACATTAGAGACTAAGCTCACTAAGTCACAGTCTTGTGAGTTAGCAGTTTATGATCTCATAACTAAGAGGTTACAAGAAACAGGTGGAATAATGTTTAGTGTGAAAGATTGTTGTGAATTAAAGCTCAAAATTAAATGAAGAACTCTTAAGAGTATGAGGTGATCTTAGAACTCTTTAAAACTAAAAGGAATGGTAGAAATATTCAATACAAAAGTTACTCCATTTATAAAAATTAGATTTTTAGGTAGCTTTACGAGTTTCTTTGGTGTAAAATTAGGCTGTACTTTTAGCATACTCTAAAAGTACTTTTATGCCATCCAGAAGCTTCTAAAATATTAGTAAAACTTAAAGCAAAATAAAAACACCCTTTTAAGCCTTATTTAGGAGACCCCCTCTCAAAAAAAAGAGGGAGTTACCCCCTGAATTTGATGTTCAGTGCATTTATGTCAGTCACAAAGAACCGAAAAAGAAAGACTGCTGTGTCAGGGGATAAACAATCATGTTTCCTTCAAGGACTAAAGGCCTCTAGGTCACCCCTAGGCATTGTTACTCCCAGTTCTTTGCAAGAAGCATTCTTACTTTTTCTGTGGTATATAAAAGCATATTTCCTACAAAGGAATACATAATGGTTTGACCAGTCAGCCTTCTTGAAAAAGTAAACTCCTTGAGAGAAAAAATGAGTCCAACCTATTCATAATGAATATTATGGTTTATCTGGAAGGTTTACAACAAAGTGGGGTGGTCAGCTCCCAGTGTGGAAGATAGCAGAGCTTAAGTATATCTTCATCATGGTGGTCTGTGACTTGAAATTGGAATGACACCTCCTTCTAGAACTCACTGGATTGTGAGCTCCATGAGGGCATGGACCATGTCTCCTCCAGGTGGCATCCCCACATCCTAGCACAACACCTGGCACTAATTAATAAATGTTTGTTGAATTCATTAGCTTATGTGTTGAGCTAACTAGCTAATTAGAGAGGCACTTGTTTCTTTCCAGCTGTGCAGTTGCTCCCTCTCATTTCCATCATTTCCCACGAGTCTGAAATGTACAAGGCTGGTTATACAGTAAAGAAAAGAAAATGTCTTCAAAAGCTCATGAAATGTATACATCTAAATGGATGGCATGAATTAGACATTGCCTTGGGACACAGGAGCTAGACACGTATGTACCATAGTGAGGATGCCATAGCTCAAAAATTTTTTCAAAACTCTATCAGAGTGTGTTAGCTGCAAAGGAAAATCAATCATAATGGTGAAAACTATAAATTTCAGCCTAGAGGCAACGTTGTCAATCTTCTTCAACTGAAAATCTCCCCAGCTTTGGAAAGGAAAATGGCTTGTCAATGGCCAAATGCATGCTTCTCTTGTGAAAATAATATTTTCCTTGTAGCTCTGAATTTTTCAAAAGAAAATCTTTTTGGCACACTTTTGGAAACGTATTTTTCTCAATTGTTTTTTTTTCTTTTTTTCATGCAAACAGCCATTTGTCTTCATCTATTTTGATGATAATTCTGAGTTACTTTACCTGCATTTAACTAAAGAGGACTCTTGTAGAGTCACCTGTGAAATAGTCATAAACAAACAGATAATGTTTTCTGCTTGCACCAAGCCTTTAAACACAGAAAACAAAACTCCAGCTTTTTAGGCCACTTCCTTTCTTACCAGGAAAGCATACAATCATCAGGTCATAATTAATATCAAATATTTCCTGCCTCAAACAAACAACAAAAGCTCATTTCCACATATTGCTGCAAAACCTCACTTATTTAGAATACTTACAGGGAGGGCTTTGGAGAAAGTGTGTGAAGGGGTAGGTTGGGGAAGGTCAGACCATTAAAAATCTGAATTACATCTTATTTTTAAAAAAATATATTTTTATTGATTTTTTACAGAGAGGAAGGGAGAGGGATAGAGAGTCAGAAACATCGATGAGAGAGAAACATCGATGAGCTGCCTCCTGCACACCCCCCACTGGGGATGCGCCCGCAACCAAGGTACATGCCCCTGACCAGAATCGAACCTGGGACCCTTCAGTCTGCAGGCTGACGCTCTATCCACTGAGCCAAACCGATTAGGGCTACATCTCATTTTTTAAAAAAGAAGTACTATTTTTATTTCAGTACAGGATAAACAAAACACATTTGAAAAAAAGTCAATAGTTGAGATTTATTTTTTTAATATGTCTTTATTGATTTTGAGAAAGAGAGGAAGGGAGAGAGAGACAGATTTTGAGAGAGAGAGAGAGGAAGGGAGAGAGAGAGAAACATCTATGTAAAAGAGAAACATTTGTTGGTTGCCTCCCCCACACACCCCTATCAGGGATTGAACCCACAACCTGGGCACGTGTTCTGACCAGAAATCAACAGGCAACCTTTGGGTGCACGGGACAACGCTCAACCAACTTAGCTAGACTGGCCAGGGCTGAGGTTTATTTTTAAGTGTATACTTCAAAATAAGTCTGCAACTCATTTGTTCATTCATTTAATCATGCATTCAACAAACAGATTTGAGTATCTACGACATGCCAAGCACTGTTCCAGGTGCTGAAAATACAGCAATAACCAAAACAAAGTCCCTACACCAATAGGTTACATTCCAGTGGGGAGACCATGAGCAGAGGGTCGAATACATGATACAATTTCAGATAATATCAAACAAGATGAAGAAAAATAAAGTGGATGAGAGGACAGGCACAGGTGGCGTGGACTGTTTCAGGCAGGATGCTCAGGGAGGGAGTCTCTGAGGGAGAGACTTGAATGAAGGGAGGGTGTGAACCACAAGAAGACCCATAGAAAATGTCTTCCAGGCATTGGAAGAGCAAATACAAAGGCCCTAGGACAGGGGTGGGCAAACTTTTTGACTCGAGGGCCACAATGGGTTCTTAAACTGGACCGGAGGGCCGCAACAAAAGCATGGATGGAGTGTTTGTGTGAACTAATATAAATTCAAAGTAAACATCATTACATAAAAGGGTACGGTCTTTTTTTTTTTTTAGTTTTATTCATTTCAAACAGGCCGGATCCAGCCTGCGGGCTGTAGTTTGCCCACAGCTGCCCTCGGGTGAGATGAGCTTGTAATATTCAAGGGCCAACAAGAAGGCCAGGATGTCAAAGTGAAGAAGGGGATGACGTACATCAGAACGATCATCAGGACCCAAATGGTGAGGAGCCCGGAGGACCACAGTACAGAGATAGGTGTTAAGTGTAACAGAATTTCAAAGACAGAAGGGGCTGATCCTAGTGTAGACTGACATCTCCAATTTGATCATGAACAGAGGCAAACAGACCCACTGAAGTCACATGGCCATAACTGACTGACCTAGACCTGACTCTTGACCAGTGAGCCAGTCAGAGAAGGCCTCAGTCTCTGCTGGTGGCAGGAACCGCTGTGAGAACATTCAGGACCGATGGATAGTACTGTTCTGCCTGTGGGCCAGAGATGCAAGAACACTGCCCTGCAGTCAACAGAGAAGTAGAGATCAGGGACCCATCGAGGCCCCCAGCATATTTATTCCTCGCTCCCCCACCCTAAAACCCTCCTGCCCTTCATTCTGATACTATATCCTTGGGCCAGCTCCAGCTGATTTCTGTTTCTTAAAACCAAAGAATCTCAACTAATAGCTATTTGAAGAACACCACCCCCTTACCTGCTGGTGTAACGCTAAAGGCTGTGTGCACTGGAACTGGCAAGAGGTCCAGCTTCCAAGAGGAATTGTGAGATTTCTCCCCAAATCCGTGCTTAGTGAAGCCATGTCAGCTTTGGTGGGAGTATTTACACCACAAAAATTGGCAAATGTGACGAACCAGGGCTTATTTTCAGAGAGCTGGATGGTAGCACACCTGTCTAGAGGTAAACACCAATGGGATCTAGAGTCACAGTTCACATCCCAGCTCTGCTGCCTCCTGTCTTAGGTAGATTATTTATCCTCTCTGGCCACAGCTTCCTCATTGTAAAATGGAGATAATCAGTGTCTACCTTATAGAGACAATGAAATAAAGATCATACAGGTAGAGCGCTGAGAACAGTGCCTGACACACAATAACTGCTCAATACATATCAGTTAACTAGCAGTATGATTCTTGTTGAAATTAGAAATAAAATAAGAATATTTTTTGTGGTTCTAAAAGTCCAATTTGTTCAACAAGACATGAAACAAAAGCCAGAAGTACATAACTACGAAACTGTGAAAACAAATTCATCGTGATTCACAGATAATGTGATTGTAAGCTAGACCACCCAACAAATCAATGGGAAAACAATTTAGAATTAATAATGGAATTATATAGGTATCTGAATAAAAGAGAT